TGAGCACTTCGTCTAGGCTGCCGGCTCGCCAGCCGTGGCCCCGCACTATGTTTCCGCCCAGAAGCTCGCCAAGTTCGTCGACGGGTTCATCGTTGCCACTAGTGTCTGCCTCGAACCTGTTGGAGTCCCGTACTGCAGAGAATATTACCAGAACAGCGGGCAGGACCTTTTTACGATTGGAATGCAGGCGCACGAACTATGTTGGACCGACCCCGCTCCAGCACCACCCACAAACGCTGTTGTCAGATCGTTCTTGGAGAAGTCAGCAAACCAATATGGCGCTAAATCGGTTATCTACATCTCTTTCGGGTTTGCACACCTTCGAATATTTCATTGCAGTGCTAAAACCTTTAAGTTCCATTTTCTTCCCGACCGCTACGCCAGAGCTCGTTGAAGCGCTTGTGGATACCCTGCTGACGCTCGAGAAACCCTTGCCATTCATTTTCGCTCTGGGAGGCGTGTTGGCGTCTCTTCCCAAAGACCTCATCCAGCGCGTGCACTCGAGTGGGAAAGGTCTCGTCTGCGACTTCTGGATCGAGCAGTGAACGATTCTCCAGCATGACGCAGTCGGATGGTTCCTAACGAACGGCGGATTCAAATGTGTCCTGCTTCTTATACCGTTAATTGGGACCAAGCTCCATGTCCGACTGTTTATCGCAAGGCATTCCAGTCATCGTCTGGCCGATCTGCGGGGATCAGCCATTCAACGCGGTGCTCATATCGTCAGGCCTAAATCCCGTGGCTATGGAGCTCATGCAGGTGGGCTTACGAGTCATCTACCGAGTAGCTCGTTCTAACCCTTTCGGCTCAGGTTCCCGCCGGACCTCAGATTGGCCCTTCGCTTCGCGGGGGCCAACTAATCACCGGTACAGTTGAGGATGTGTCGGCAGAATTCAAGGCGACATTTAATGCTGCGCGGGGATAAAGGGATGCTATCTTGAGGGAAAATGCAGAGAGTATGGCGAGGACGTTGAGAGAGGCGCGATCCGGGGAGTTTTCCGATGAGCTCGTCCGATTAACGAGTTTTAGAGTCCGTTGGCTTGTTTGGTTGTGTTACAGATTGTTCAAACTCACTCACTTTTCGCCGCAAAGGTTTCTTGCTCTCGCTCGACCACGACGCCGATCCTCGCCTTTATGGTGGGTGCCTTCCCCGGTGGGCGGCGATCCGAGCAGACCGTACATAAGCAGGCGCTGAGGTTGAAGTGGCTGAGATTCGCGAGGAGAATCTTGAGGATATCTAATGCTAAGAGGTAATTATATCCTGGATGACCGACCTTGAAATTTGTAGCATGTACCTTCAATAGGTGGAATAGTTATGGATTTAATTGTGTTGAACATGAGTGTCGAAGAGGTACTTAAATTGAACGGGCCGAAGATCGCCGAGGTCCAAAAACAACTCGCTACCCAGGTTTCCATACCACCAGACTCTGAATTAAACGCGTACAGAATTTGCTCGACGCGCCCAGTCCGTGCACTGGCATGTGATCGTGATCCGCGTGACATCTTTGCGGTCTCGCTCAAGTCTCGCCTTGATTTCACCTGCTCTGTATCTTCATCGTGCGCGAGTTGTTGAAACATGAAACCCAAGGTGTGTTCCCTTTTCGTCGATGGATGCTGGGGTTTCATTCTTTTTGAACTTGGCAGGGTCGAAAAGATTGTGCCACCAACTCATCCAAACGGTGCGCGACTAGCTCGAGACCTTGCGCTCGTATCGTTGCCAATCTGAATTTCCTGATCAGGAACCCGAAGATTTCCCCTGTACCTTCTCCCCATCTGCCGCCTGAACTTTGGGTGACGATTGGGCGCTTTGTTCCCCGTCAAGCCCTCGCCCATCTCTCCTGCGTCTCGCATGAATTATGCGCCGTATTTTCCCCACTACTTTATGGAGACACCATCACTACGCCAATGAGTGGAGCTCAAGCGTCACGTCTTATTGAAAGCCTATCCGCGGCCCAGCCATCCAGCTGGAAACCGCGTCCCGCAACGCTGATTCGGCACCTTGGTATGACGAATGGCGGGCCCCGGGTAGCACAAACCATTGACCCTGAGATTTGGGAGGCATCGGTTAATGCGCTCCGCAATCTTGCTGAACTTACGCTCGGTGAGCGTACGAGAGGATCCGCTTTGCGCGTTCTCCATTGGCATCTGCCGGCTGGGATTGACGAGCTCGGCAAGATACTTGGCTTCCCTGGACACTTTCCGAATCTCAAAGAACTCGTAGTTTTTGCAGATGGAACGAATGAAAACTTTAATGTGAGCATCCCATTTACTTATCCTTCGGTAGATTAAGAAAGCCACAGTTCGTTCAGATCATAGGCCTCGAAGTGCTCGGAATCAGCCTCTGCCTTCCTCTCAATGGTACGGTTGCCCATCTCCCAACAATCCTGCTCATTCAAATCCCTAATAGACGAGGATTACGATTCTGACGACGGCGCGAAGTTGTGTTACAAGCTTACCGAAGCCTTGCAAATGCTGCCGTACACTTCTCCTCGTCTCCACTCTTTTAAATTGAGGCTCGGTATCCCATATGATGAGGCAGAGGACACATTTCCATCCCTCGGATACAGCGACCTTGTCGATGCTATCAATGAGTTGCATTTTCCCGCGCTAACAACCTTCGATATTTCGGTCATGCTATATCCACACGCGGACGATGATTTTGATCCAGATGAGTTACCTACCACCGACTTCTCCACTTTCTTAGCCTCCCATGGAAACCTTGTTAACCTTTCGCTGAATGCACCCGATACAAAACTCACGGACAATATTACCTTTCCGCACCTTCGTTCTTTCGAGGGTTCTTTCGAGCATTCCGAGATCATCACTCGGCGACACCGGCTCGAAAAGCTTGTCCTCACTTTCATCCATCCATTTTGGAGGTACAACCCGCCGGCGTTCTGCACCCTGCCCCTTCCCACTCACTTATCGCTCACAACACTCCGTGTTACGGCTGTTACAACCGAAGGATGGGAGGTCAAGAGGACCAACGAACTAAGCCCTGAATCATTTGCCCAATTGGTTCCCTCCTTCCCCAATGTTACTCATCTCAATTTCTGCACTAACGGCAGGATGGTACGTTCTCAAAACAAGCGTGAACCGTGTCGCAGCCTTGCTAAGATCCCAATAGCCCCAATATCACAACTCCTTGATTTGTTTAACAAAACTCAAGAGCATCCGCGTGCAAGAATACCGACAGCGCAAAGTACCGGACCACTGGTCTGTTACGGAGATGTTCCCAGCCATCGACTACATCGCAGAATTCCGTTTCTTTTTGCCATTTTTACCACACCTCACATGCATCGACATCTGTCTTTTGGCTGATATCGATCGGCCTGTCGACTCAACGGAAACTCCGCGCACTGAAGCCACAGAAGTTCAAATCTGGATACTGTTGGTTGGGCGCCCGAAGTTAAGGGTCGACTACTCGTTTTCGGTGATTAGGGCCTTCGGTGGTCCAAAGGCTGTCTTGGACGATGCTCGCATTCGTGAGAGGTAAGAAATCAACATATTTATTCAACATGAGAGTGTATGCTGATTCGCGACGGGTCAGTTGGCTCTGAGTGTTCATTGGAGGATCTTTCGACTGGGCTGAAGACTTGTTTGTATCGACTCGAAGGCTGAGAATCTCCGGGGTGAAATGTGGTTGAACTTGGGTGCCTTTCTTATGAAGTCCTGAGATGGCCATCGCAGCTGATTACTATTTTGGTGTATATCTCATGTTGAAGCCAATGGTGGGGCCATAATTGGGAGTCTTTTGCCGATGTTTGAATGTTCTCAGCAAGGCACCGTGAAGGGATGTCTCGGCATCGTTGTGCAAGACTTGCACCACAATTCCTGACAGCCCTTTTCACTGGTACAGACTGATTCACTTCCGATGTCGATGCCTTCCGAGCTGTAGTTATTTCCTCCACTGTGAAGGAACTTCATTGGATTCTCTTGGTCTGAAGGACGTTGAGTATAAATGAGCGTTGCAGTGAGGCCAAGTCTGAATTACTAACCGACTTTGAATCACGTGCAATTTACCTCACAAACCTGGCCTACCTATGTCGAGTCAGAGATGGGTAAGAAAGGCTCGGTGGCGGGTGGTCCGCATCTTCAACCTATAGCTTGAAGTGAAGGAGAAGCTGCTCGTTCGAATCGAGCCCGAGCCATGGGGTGGATCATAAATATTTTAAATTTGCCCGATTCGATGGCCCAGAAAGGTTGAATAGACTCATGGTCTTCATCCCAGAAATAAATAGGTTGCGGGGTCATGAAACTGAGCTCAGAATTGGTTCAACCTCATCTCCTTCGACCTTTACCTGCATATTCCGAGGCAGAGGTAGGGAATCAGGGGTTGGTGGCGGGTGGTCCGTATCTGCAACTTGTAGGGCGAGGATCTGTTGATGCAGGAGGTGCTCGTTCGAATTGAGCCTGAGCCATAGGAGTATTTTGAGATTCTCCTTTGTATTCCTGCTCAGCACACTAGCAGCCACCAGCTATCCAGGCACTTCCGATACAATACACTCCCTTAACTTCTCCTTTTCTAAAAGAACCGGGGGATGAACCAGTGGCGCCGGTCCAACTTGAAGCTTCAACGAGACCCGATTAAATTCGAACCAGGTTCGATTGATCTCCTCCCACCTTAAAAAACCCGGCCAACTTATTGATGGGTAAAAGAGGGTAGGACAGGCTCGGTGGCGGATGGTCCGCATCCTCAACCTATCTTTTGATTGTATATTAGAATTTGAAGCAGACGCCGCTCGTTCGACTCGAGCCCGAGCCATGATCCAGATGTGTTAGTCATTTTTTTCTTTGGTGCACGGTAAGCCTTTAATTTTTGATACAGAAGTTTGAGCGCACTGTCTGGGATGCCACCCTCCCTCCCCCAAGACACAATTCGTGTGTCAGCATGGCAAGAGTCGAAAAGCAAATTTGAACCATGTTCAATTTGTTCCCTCCCACCTTGAGATAAATGTGGTCTACCTATCTTGAGTCAGAGGAGGGTAGGGGTTAGGGAAGGCTCGGTGGTGGATGGTCCGCATCTGCATCTGCAACCCATCCAAGTTGAGTGTCAATATGACTGGAGCAGAAGGTGCTCGTTCGATTCGAGCCCGAGCCAGGCCCATGTTGGGAACATGTCGATCTTTTTTTTGTTGCGCGCTGAACGGGTAAGCATTCCGAGAAAGGAGATTGAACGCTCTTTCTGTGATGAAAAGTAGCATGTTCAATTTATCCTACGGTTCAATCTATGTATGTAGCTCTCAAAATCTGGTGTACCTATTTGCGGGTAAAAAAGGGTACGGTGGCGGGTGGCCGCGTCTGCGATTTGTAAAATTGTCAGATGTCATCCAATGTGGAGCAGAAGCTGCTCGATTCGACAGAAGCTGCTCGTTCGAATCGAGCGCGAGCCATGCCATGCTTTCTTGAATATTTTTTTTCTTGTAGGGTTCACTTGTCTGTTATCTGCCCAGCCAAGCCTTGCTTGAATTTCCTCGGAATCTAGGCACGCGCCTAAACCATTCTGATCCCATGACCATACGACTCACCTGCTCCCGACACCCACAACAGCCCTTACCATGGCCCAAGAGCTCTTGTGAGTCCCGGTCCCCCCCCTTATAGGACGCCCGGCATGCACATGCACGCTGCACACACCCATACACACCACCGCGACGCCCCCACCCCCTAGGACCGCCCCAACGCCTATGACCCCGCCTATGACCCAGGAAAGCCGTGCCCCCCGCGCGCGACGGTCATCGACCTCAGCACGCTCGACCTCGAGCACCTCGTGTTTGACTGCGACTCGGGCAGTGAGCGGGAGCGACGACGGGTATGTCTCGACACTTCAGCGCATGTAGCGCGCCATGCCGGTCCTGGTGGCCGTGGTGCCACGGAGGATTACGGGCGCGCGTCGCGTGGCACGTGTTGTGTCAGCGCCGCAGCCCATGAGGGACATGGGCGTGATGGAGGTGGAGGCGGTGAGGACGGGGACGGTGGCGCGCGCGGGTCGGCGCACGCACGAGGACGAGGTGTCCCAGAGCATCACCGCGATCCCGGGCCTCGAGTGCACGACGCTCCAGTCATTGCAGGGTTTGTTCTGAGAAGATGAAAGAGCGGCGCAGTTGACTTCCACAAATGTATTCTATGCACTTGATGAGTGAATCATAAAACTTGATGCATATTTCCTCGCGTGCGGCGACTTGAATACGACTACGACTATAGATCATCCATAAAAGGGTCGGTCAAAGCGATGTATTTCAATCTACATATTGAGACGTAGCTAGTCACAGGTTAAGGTTTATCGCACGCACTTTCGCTGCTTCCACTGATGGTTCACAGCATCCTTTCCACCCCTGCGCTCGAGCCTAGTGCCTCACCACTCGACAGTCGCACACTGGAGCCTCTACGGCCCGTACAGCGCATGCCGCGAGAAGACGGCCGCGCAATCCGCACGACGAGAAGCAGGGCTGTGTCGTAGAATTGACGCCGCATGCGAGAGTCGCCCGCGGATGCGCCGATTCCCTGTTCGCTAGAGGTACGCGCACACTCGTTCCCGTCGCAAGACCTGCACCCCGGATGCATCCGCAACGGCGGGCATCGAGTTGGCAACGGCGCGCTTGCGGAGACGGAGCGAGCAACAACGCGCACACGCTGGCGTGTTGTCACGGACGAGGACCGGAAGCAACGTGCCTGCGAGCGCTCGGAGAGCGCGATGAGCTCGTGCCTGCGCCACAGAGAGCAGAGTGCGCTCGCGCACAGACCCGAATCACCGACCTCGTAGTCCTTTCAAATCCATGCCCAATACACTCGTTTCCGTCCCGAGACCGAGTGAGCGGAGCAAGCGTTTCTCCTTTCAAGGCACGTTGACTTCAGGTTGCGAGTCCTGGGGTAATAGGTAGGACAGTTGCAAGGCGAGGTCATCGAAACGTTCAAAAGAGTGGTGATGTCTTTTGGCACGGCGCCGGACAAGAGCAGAGAAAGCTGCAAGCGAGTAGATCACACTCGAGAACAGAGGCACGCGGCTGGCGCGGCGACATAGGAATTCGCGGGAGATTCGGTTCGGAGAGAGCCTCAGAGAGGAAGGGGAACGGACGCATCGGTCGGCGTCGGCGGAAGAGAATTGTCGCGGCCGACGTCCCACGGCAATCCCACGGTGCCAATCATCGGATCTTCGGGCGATCACTTTGCCGTTCAACGTCGAAAACTAATATGAGAACACTTCTGCAGTGCCAAAGTGTCTGAGATCCATTCAAAGGATGGGAAACGGCCGCCGAAGCAGGGAACTCTAAAAGCTTGTTCTTTTTTTTTTTTTTTTTTTTGCCCAAGTGCCATCAATTATGCAAACATTGTACATGCAATTCCAGACGGCGATCAACAATCGGACTTCTGGGCGCGGGAAACCCCGAGCCCTTCTTAGACCCTGCACGGAATGCGACAGAACACCATAAGTACGTATACTACATGCCCTAAAAATCCAGACAGAGATCAAATGTCGTTCCAGGGTTGCCTTAGTCAAGACTGACAGATTCCTTTGGTATCACACCGGTGATTTGCCAAATTTCGGCACAGCCGAGGTGGAACTCAAAACGTAATACTAGGGTTAGAATTAGCCTTATAAGGAAGATACACCATATAAGGTTAGCCCTAACCCTAGCTTTAAGTTTCAAGTTACATCTCGAAATTTGGCGGTCGCCGGTTGGTCGCCGGTGTGTATATTGATTGAATTCAAGTTCTCCTATCGCTCCCGATCCCGCCCTCTGATCTTCTCACAGCATCAACTGAATTGTTTTCCTCATTTCATCTGTATTCGCTTCTCTTCAATACTCCGAAGTGCCTGGGCCACTGTATTGCGCACAATATCCGTAGCATCTGAGATTGCGGAACGTCGTTTCTAGGCGACATCTCAGATTTGTACATTCTCGCACATTCGCCGGCGGTCGGCAATTTCGATCCCATGCTGTCTCATGCTTTCTTCGTCTTAAGACGACAGACCCCAACGACTAATTAAAACTTGATTCAAAGCCCCCCACAGAGTTCTGCGCGTCCTCCACACCATGTCCCAGCCCTCATGGCACGCTCAGCAGCTCCATGCCGAGCGCCAGGGGAAGATGGTCTTGGTGTATGTGCTGGTGGGCTGCACATCGGTGCGTGCTTGTGTCAGTTCATTTTCTCGCTCATCCTGACGGAATGACCCCATAGGTTTTCATTTGGGATGTCTTGAACAACCTCCGGAACGACTATATGTTGCTCTTCAAACAAAGATTTCACTTGGCGTCCGGGGCGTATGTGGTTTCCAGGTGAATAATTATCTATGTGCACGTCCACGGCAACTCATGTAAGATCCAACAACAGACTGGCATCTTTGGTTTACCTCCTGGGGTTCATGATATTCTTCAGTGCGCGTCTGACGTGAGGGATAGTCTGGGCCAACGCTGATATATAGTAATCCAGCACACCCTATTCAAGCGTGCAACACGGCTTTCGTCGCATTCAGCAGCTTCTACCCGCTCGTCATCTCTGCATCAACCTTTCTCTTTCTCTTCCGGGTGCGGGCCGTATATGGCGGTGATCGCCTCGTCACCGCAACATTCGGATTTCTGTGGCTCATAGTCGTGGGTACATCAATGACCGTCCCGTTCCGTGGGAACGCGATTGGACTCGGGGACCCTCGTCATTGTGTCCTTGTGAATGTTGGGGAATACACTAGGTCGGGGATCGCTGGGATCACCTTAACTGTGTACGACACCCTCACCTTCTTCGCGATCTCCTACCGGCTGGTCTCAATTTTTCGGCACTCGGAGGAGTTGACGCGTGGGGAGCAGGTCCGGACATTTTTCAGCGGTGCCAACCTACCCGCCTTCTCGAAGGCGCTATTCACTGAAGGGCAGATGTATTACATGTGCGTCGTGGTCCACATCCTCATTCGGCGCTGATCCCATTCTTGCTCCGCAGGATTACGGCCGCTACGAACTGCGTCGCCATATTGTTGGTGTACATTCCGAACGCCGTTCCGGGCGCCCAACCCATATACCGCGGGGTGATGGTCCTCCCAAGCATGACAGTGATGAGCATCATGGCCTGCCGCGGCTACCGCAACACGAAGCTGAGGGTGTCGGAGCTCTCCCTGCCCATGGTCAATTCCGGTGGGCCTGGCGGTGACCTCACGAAACGTCTCAGCGTCGTGTTCTCGGAGCGCTATGCGGTGGACTCTGAGGGCGATGCGTCTGAGCCCACGGGCAGAAAGAGTGGTACGGTGTGAGAAACGCCTCGCTCTTCCGGTTCCCTCAGCTCCCTCCGATATTCCGCGCACAGCCTAGTACAGGCCTCGCGGCTCCTTTAATTATTCCGCTCCGCTTCCTTAATTCAGTACTGCCTTTGTATTTACGTACTCCACTTATTAGTGCTGTTCAAAGTTCCCACTATTTGACTTCCTGTTTGACTTCCTGTTTGCTCCCTTTTTGCAAATTTTGGCAGGGATCCCTGCCAAAATCTGCCGAAAAGGAAGAGACCAGGAAAACGAGTAGGAAGCGAAAAGGGACATATTTGAAACCCTAGGGTTGAGATTTTCGAACCAGGAAGCAAGTAGGAGAATGTTCCTGGTCTGAAATACTGCCAAATCTCAACCAGGAGAGCAAAAAGGAAGTCAAAAAGGGCTGTTTTTGACGAACAGGAGCACATGTAGTTCCTGATTCGACCCTACTTGTGTCCCTGATTGTTCTCCTGGTTGCACCATCAACACAAACAGGAACACAACCAGGAGCACAACTAGGAGCCCAAGTAGGGACCAACCAGGAGCTACTTTGAACACCACTATTATTTTCCTATTAGTTACATATAAATAATCCCGTATTTCTTGTAGATCAACTCTGTCCATAGTTGAGAATCCTATCTGCCTTTCCCTCGTCTTATTCTTGCCCTGCTCGTCTCCGCCTCGCTTCGACACCAGTTTGCATCCTCATTGCATCCTCCCGGTATTTATCTGGATTACCGACACTCGGGTTCTCACAAGTTTGATCCGGGCGACTTCTCCTCTGAGTCCACGACGATCCCGAGATGCAGGTTGGCTCGCCCGACCCCGCCGTTCATTCCTGGTCCAATGCGGCGGCTACCCCTTTGCCCACA